GTGTGTGTGTGTGTGTGTGTGTGTGTGTGTGTGTGGTGTTGTGGTGTGTGTGTGTGTGTGTGTGTGGTGTGTGTGTGTGTGCGTGTATGTGTTGTGTGTGTGTGTGTGTGTGTTGTGTGTGTGTGTGAGAGAGAGTTAGGTGGGTGAGTGTGAGAGAGAGAGAGAAGAGAGAAGAAGAGAGAGAGAGAGAGAGAGAGAGAGAGAAAGAGAGAGAGAGAGAGAGAGAGAGAGAGAGAGAGAGAGAGAGAGAGAGAGAGAGAGAGAGAGAGAGAGAGAGAGAGAGAGAGAGAGAGAGAGAGAGAGAGAGAGAGAGAGAGAGAGAGAGAGAGAGAGATTCCAATATGAAATTCTTGTAATGAAAATGATAAAAAACGACAAATAAATAGTAAAAAAAAATATATAAAACAGGGCGAGACATTAAAAAACAAAACCCATTCAAAAAGAAAAAAAGCACAGAAAAGAGGGCAAACAATCCTTCCAATGAACAAAAAAAAAAAGAGGGAGAGAGAGGCCCTTGATATCAATACCATCAAGACACAGATAACACCACTCTAATTCGCCGTGGAGGAGCTACCGTTAAGAAAGTCTCGCATGGATACCTGTTTTAGCTCCCCAGCAGGCACTGTCGCCTTCCTCCAGGGTCAACTTTCACCTTTTTGTGTCGCCGCTATATCTGGTTACGCGAACGGCATCTCAAAATAGACCACTGGCTGTAAGAAATGCATTCACAGGTATATTTCTGTCATATGAGGGATTCTATCAGCGGGTATGATTGGATTTGAGAAAGCGGCTGAGTGTGTGTGTGTGTGTGTGTGTGTGTGTGTGGGATGAGATCAGGCTATATGTAGTCTGTGTCGAGGTGATTTGAGGCATTAACGTGAGGAACGTCTTGCTATTATGGGCTTGTAGAGTAGAAGGGGCAGAGAGGAAATAGAAACCGCTTGGAAACCTGTCTTGGATATTTAGTTTGGCAGGGATATGTTTCCTTTCATCATATCTAAAAATGCAATTAGAAGGGAAATGTTTTATCCATGTACAGTATATATCATTATGTACATGTTTCAAAGTTAATCAGTTGAAATAACACAACAAAAAGAAAAAAATAATAGTAGAGACAGGGATGGTAGTAATGATGATGAATTTATAATGATATTGTTAAAGTAATGCTAATAATGTTAACCATATTGGTAGAATGAATGCCATTACTGTCAGCAAGAGCAGCACTTGCCTTCCTCCGCCTAATGCTCCCGCACCCGCAGGTGGCGACGGCCGTCGTCGAGCCCTACAACTCCATCCTGACGACGCACACGACGCTCGAGCACTCCGACTGCGCCTTCATGGTGGACAACGAGGCCATCTACGACATCTGCCGCCGCAACCTGGACATCGAGCGCCCGACCTACACCAACCTGAACCGCCTCATCGGCCAGATCGTGTCCTCCATCACCGCCTCCCTCCGCTTCGACGGCGCGCTCAACGTCGACCTGACGGAGTTCCAGACCAACCTGGTGCCGTACCCGCGCATCCACTTCCCGCTGGTCACCTACGCGCCCGTCATCTCCGCCGAGAAGGCCTACCACGAGCAGCTCTCCGTCGCCGAGATCACCAACGCCTGCTTCGAGCCGGCCAACCAGATGGTCAAGTGCGACCCGCGCCACGGCAAGTACATGGCCTGCTGCCTGCTGTTCCGCGGCGACGTCGTGCCCAAGGACGTCAACGCCGCCATCGCCTCCATCAAGACCAAGCGCACCATCCAGTTCGTGGACTGGTGCCCCACGGGCTTCAAGGTGGGCATCAACTACCAGCCGCCCACCGTCGTGCCCGGCGGCGACCTGGCTAAGGTGTCGCGGGCGGTGTGCATGCTGTCCAACACCACGGCCATCGCGGAGGCGTGGGCGCGACTCGACCACAAGTTCGACCTGATGTACGCCAAGCGCGCCTTCGTGCACTGGTACGTGGGCGAGGGCATGGAGGAGGGCGAGTTCACGGAGGCGCGCGAGGACCTGGCGGCGCTCGAGAAGGACTACGAGGAGGTCGGGATGGACTCGGCCGAGGAGGAGGGCGACGACAACGAGTATTAGTGCCCGACGGCGCTCCAAGTGGTAGATTCACACACCCCCACACACACACATACACACACACACACTTACACACACACTCACACCACACGCGCAGACAGCACAACCACTGAAAACGGAAGCTTAGAAGCGATATTTCATCAAGCCTTATTGCTTTTCCCAGCCCGCCCTCCGCCAGACGTCACGGGGTCTCCCACCGCAGTCGAAACCACTGGATTCCCAGCCGCCTCGCCCCCCCCCCCACGCCCCCACGCCCCCCACCCCTCTCCCTTCCTCGTCCCTCGCCAAAAGAGGACACAGATAAACATAAAAAGGAATTAATCAAAAAAAGATATCTATGTATCCAGCCCCCCTCCCTCTCCCTTCCTCGTCCCTCGCCAAAAGAGGAAACGGATAAACATATAAAAAAGGAATTA